CTGCCTGCCTGCCTGCCTGCCTGCCTGCCTGCCTGCCTGCCTGCCTATCTATCTATCTATCTATCTATCTATCTATCTATCTATCTATCTATCTATCTATCTATCTATCTATCTATCTATCTATCTATCGTCCATAGCTGCAGGACAGCATCTTCCAGAATTACTGGAAGTAGAGTTTTCAAGGGGTTGTGATTTTTGTCATACCAGTTTATGATATTCCAAGGATGGAATCAAATTATGCCACTTTAAGTATATCATAATGAGGTTTTGGAGACAGATGGATATCAGAAGCTGTTGAAAAAGGAACAGTAAATTAGACGTGCAGCTTGAGCAAAATCACTCAATTTGTCATAAGCATGAAAATTCAGTGAAAATGTTCCTTTCTTTCTTTCTTTCTTTCTTTCTTTCTTTCTTTCTTTCTTTCTTTCTTGTTTAATTGCATGATCATCTAGGCCCCAGAGAGTAACAAAAAGCTCTTGATTTTCTAAGGAGAAACACCACATGTTGAGCTGTTGGCTATCTGTGTTAATGTATTAATTCAGTGCCTCTTGAGACATTTCGATGGAGAAAAACAACCTCTCCAAATCTTGGGGCATCTCCATTTTTTTCTCATCAAGCATTAAATTAAAATTAACTATAATTAAATAAATCATGATCTTAATATCATGAACCATAGTAATATTAAAAAAAAAACAGACTTAAGGCTATGTTCATCATCTGCATATCCTTATCCGTGATTGGTTTAACCCTTCCACAAAGCTTATGTCTTCTTGCTGTTCCTTGTCACCATATTGTCAACAATATTTGCCAGCCTGCTGTAGTATATACTTGTATCTGTCAAGTGCTGGGGAAATCAGGAGATTCAGGTAGTTCAAAGAAGTGCGAAGATTTATTGCAAGCTTAAGCTCTCTACAAGAATCTGACCAACTAACAGTGAAGAGAAATGAGTGGGATATAGGAAAGAAAGGCATCCAAGGTAGGCTGGATTTAGATTTCTTGGAGAGCAGAGAGACACGTGACTTATGACACATTTGACCCCTCCCTCGGGCTCAGCCTGTTATCTCCTACAGTATCTATTATCCATCTGTCTGTCTGTCTGTCTGACTGACTGACTGACTGACTGTCTGTCTGTCCTTCTATCCATCCATTCATCCATCCATCCATCCATCCATCCATCCATCCATCCATCCATCCATCTATCCATCCAGCTAGCTAGGTAGCTAGCTAGCTATTGTATTTGTCTGTCTGTCTGTCTGTCTGTCTACATTTAGGAAACATGCTGATGCTCTTTTTTTGTTTCTTTTTCTTTTGGTCATCTTCATCTTTGGTCGAATCTAAGTTTGAGAAGATATTGATAAGGAGTCTTTCTAATGAAGGACTTCATCCAGCTCATAGCTAGGATTTGATTCATGTCTTTAGAAAGCTACACCTAGCCTTCCAGTTCTATTTTTCTTTTTAATCTTGGACATAGAGTAGATTAAACTACCTGCCTTGGGAAAAAATAAAGTTCTTATCTATCCCAAAGTTAAATGAAGGATTTTGCAGATCCTAGGTACTTTTCGTTTAGTGGGTAGTTTGATGGATGCATTTTAAGGGTGTATCCGTTTCCACAAGGAGGTGGCTGATCAGAACTGTCTTTAATGATTTGTTTAAATAGCAAAATGGTATGCAACATCAGGACATGGTCTATCTATCTATCTATCTATCTATCTATCTATCTATCTATCTATCTATCTATCTATCTATCTATCCCACTGGAAAATATACTACTACATCTATATACAGGGAAACAGAAATTGCAGCCATCTGTGTCAATTTATTTTTAAGCTCCTCTTAAAATACAGAGAGCTGTGGTGTCAATTATCAATGGTGTCACCTCTTTTATTTACCTAGAGACCCTGGCCCTTGTTGAGACATCTGAAAAATCCTTTCTGTAGCATTATCCTCCCACTTAATTGGTTTCTAAGTGAATGTTGCTTAGTTGAAAATCTGAATGAAAATTGCCCCGCCAGTCGCAACACTTGGAGAGGGCCAGAGGTCATTATGTACGAGGGTCATATGGATCCGTGGGTAGCTCGCTTATGCACAAAATGGATTGCAAACCACCGCAGTTGCAATTAGATATGCCCTGATATAAGTCACTCATTCATATAAATGAGCACTGGAGGAAGAAATGAAAAAGTGATCAAATCACAGCTGCCTTATTTCAGCTCTCTGGATCTGCAGCCATCTAATCTCTTTGGTTTGGATAAAGTGAGAAGATCCATTGTGTCTCAGGCCTGGCCTGAGTACCATCAGCTAACCTTGGGGTGATTTGAAGAGTCAACCAGTGATGTATCCCTAATGCAGGAAGCTTTGTATTGCCACGTTGATGTCTGGCTGATGCTATAAATCACTGGCAGGCATATCTTCTGTGCAGCAGCCTGAAGATGATCTGCTGACCTCTCAGCCAGAGTAGAGGGCAATTAATCTCTCTTTTCTGGAGAAGAAACAGACTAGCATTCTGGGCATCACACACACATCAAGTAATGAAATGGATTCTCTCAAATCTGCCCTTGACCTCAGCCTATATATGGTGATGTCTCTTGTTTCTGCCTCTCAGTTCCTGTTTGCTTGACCCTAGACACTCTCGGTGGGATTTCCACCAGGTAGATGACCTTGCTGCTCGGCTACTGCATTAATGCTACCACATCTGCATTCCACATCAGCCTGTTGTAAATTGAAGCCAGATCGGGAGATAAGTGGGAGATTACTACATTCTTGATTTACTAGCTTTCATTCCAATAGCATAACTCCCAATGTTAAGAAACAGCTAAGGGAAGGAAACATACAAATGCCAGCACGGATGAGTCATAAACAGATCATAAAAGCTATAAACGGTATAACTGTGAGGCGTTAAAAAGCAATACCAAAAACATTGATTTAATCGTGAATTTAAGGTTGGATCTTTCAACTCTCCTATGAGCCCCACATAGCTAGCTGAACTAGGAGGTTTTCCCTCTGTTTAAACTGGCATCTCAGCAATATCTTCTTCACCAACAAGTAATATCATAAAAACCAATGAAAACAAGCAAAATCTCTCCCGTGTTTACGGGGGAAAAACTAATGCTAGTAGCCATTTTTTTATCCTCATATTAAAGAGTTTCTCTGCTACCCTCTCTCAAAGGTTGTCATAATTTCTTGGGTGAGTCTACTTCACCTCTAATTAATCAATTCATTAACTATTGATAGAAACCTCTCCCCCCCACACACACACAAAAAGCAAAACTACCTAATACAGCAGCCCAACAATCTTCTCATTTACAGGCTCTCGTTTCATTTGTTATAATTTCCCTACGCGTTCTCGTTCAACAGCTTCTTTTGCCACTACAGAAATAAAATTCATTATAATTTAATTCAGAAAAGTTCAGATCAAGGGGAGGGGGAGAAAGAAAGTGGGGGGAGGAGAGGGGACAAGGATAGACTTGTATGGAAGTGGATGGTTAAAAATGCACCAGAAAGTAAATGGAGAATTTAAAATGACGTTATGCTGCATTTCATTTTAAGTACCAGAGCTTTCTTCCACCCCATCCCCAAATGATGCAAGATTCCCACAAAAGCTTCTTTTTTCGTTCCATATATATATAAAATTAAATACAGCACAGGCAAAAACATTGCAATTTTGTTCCTGAGATCCATAATCCCAGGTTTGAAAATGAAACATTCTGATTTATTTATTTTTTTTCCTGCCCTTCTACAACAGCTGCAGAAGGAGAAAAGAAAACTGGACGCTTGTCACTCTTTTTAAATAATTCAGCATTCATGGAATCTGGCATGATTAATACTGTTTTATGAAAAAGGGGAATGTGTACATCTTTGTAATTGGGTGTCTCAAAGGCAACTAAACAGGGAGTGAAGACATTCATTATTATTTTTTTTTCTGAAATTCTGGGTTCCCTTAGAACCTCTGAATTCATTAAGTTCACCCCTTGCCACATGCACTTTAATCAATATGTGCAGATAACTGTATTTTGTAAGTTGGGAGAAGCATCTACACAGTCTTTAAAAAGACAATAAACTTTGAAGGACAATTATTTTCTCCTAGCTAATGCTGGACATCTTGAATGTAGTAACGATTAAGAGAATTATAATAGCAAAAACAGTACGTCGCTATTTTTTTAAGGGAATAGATCTTTTCTTTGTGTGTGTGTGTGTGTGTGTGTGTTTTAACCAGATTATATATTGATTTATTTTTCTAGCTTTAGGAGTTTGTGGCAGCAACGCTGTTTTAATTCTTTTAACCGATTTTTTTCCCCTACTGTCTTGATGTTGTCAGTTAAAGTATTGTCAGCTAAATCCAGTCACACGTGAAACACGTCCCAACCCAGGGATACTTTCATGAACGGTTGTGTGCCGATGTTTTAGTGTGCATCGCTGAAATTATTAGTAGTAGCAAGTAGTATACTGGTTTAATGTAGATTCTACCTTCCTGTCCAGTAAGTCAGAGGTTCCCCAACACACACACACCCCGGGCCATGGTCCGTTCGAAACCAGGCCACACAAGTGGTGGGTGAATGCGCGAGTGCACACAACTCCATTTGCACGAGCGATGGCACGCGTGTTTGCATGGGAAGCTCCCTTTATGCAAATGGTGGGTAGGTGCCCCAGCTGCTTGCACAAATGGGGTTTTGCATGCAAGCACGCGCGCCTGCTTCTTGCACGGAACCATCCCCCCTCCCCCCCCCCGGTCCACAAAGCTAGAAATGTTGGAGACCCCTGCAGTAAAGGTTAAAAGGTTAAAATCTAACCTTAAGCCTGCAACCTACCCGTCCAGACATCAGCCCCATCCAGCTCAATGGGGCTTAGTAAAGACGCCCCATTTGGAGGAAGCCGTCCAATCAACTGAAATTCTTGGTCAAGGTTCTTTCCCCCCCTTCTTCCAACTGACCTCTTGTCAAAGTCTACTGGGCATGGGCTCCCTAGTGCAAATGGAGTGTTGTGAGTGTTGTGTTTGCCCCTACCATTTTCCATATGCTCTGCCTCACCAACACTGCCATCCGGCGTAGTCCTTTCGTAGTTGTCCTCTGGGAGTGGAAGGGCACCCAGCCTCGGGCCTGAAGAACTCTTACTGCTTGGCGTTTCAGATTCCTCCAGACCGCTGTCATAGCAACTCTGCAAAGACCCTTGATGCGGGTCTTGAGGCTGACTCACAACTGAAAACGTCACTCTACGGAACGGCTGCAAAAGAAAAGATTCTGGATGTCACTCGAAAAGCAGGGTCTGGGAGAACGCCACTCTTAATCATTTCTATTATTATTATTATTTTAAAAAAATGCATCTTGTAAAACACAGTTGATCCCCCCCACTGTAGAAAATCACAACAGCTATGGACTATGGTTAGTATAAGACACTTCTAATCGGAGATAATGTCATTTGAGAATGATTGTGTTGTCTGTGTTCCATTATTGCTTATTGCTATTGTTTATTCCTGAACTTACTATGGACATTTTATTTATCGTTTATGTGTAAAAATATTTATATTTGTCAACCACCAGTAGTCCTAAGTCAGGGGTAGGCAACCTTGGCTCTTTTATGACTCGTGGACTTCAACTCCCAGAATTCCTGAGCCAGCATGGGGGGAACCTTGGCCTCTTTATGACTCGTGGACTTCAACTCCCAGAATTCCTGAGTCATCTTGGCTCAGCTTGGAAACCTCTCCCTTTCTCCTCAACACAGCTGGCTCAGGAATTCTGGGAGTTGAAGTCCACGAGTCATAAAAGAGCCAAGGTTGCCTACCCCTGGTATAAGTAAACTATGTATTTATACCTTCATTGGAATTTTGAGTTCATTACAGAGCAGATTTGCAAAAGGGGATTGAAGGTTGGATACAGGCAGTGGTGGGATTCAGCCGGTTCGCGACGGTTCGGTAGAACCGGTAGCTAAATTTTGCTGCATTCATAGAACCGGCTGGCTTCCAGAAGTCCAGTCTAGGCCTCGGGGGCCTGCAGGAGGCCTTCCAGGTCTAGAACAGCCCACCGGAAGTGCATGGATGCCACTTCCAAAAGTCCGTTCTAGGCCTCGGAGGCCCAGGCCTGCATCGAATAAGAGAACCAGTTGTTCAGATATTTGACTTCCACCACTAGACACAGGTAGTCCTCAACTTACAACAGTTCATTTAGTGACCGTTCAAAGTAACAACGGCACTGGGATAAGTGACTTAAGACTTGTTTTCCCACACTTATGCAATCATTGCAGCATCCTCATGGTCACGTGATCCAAATTAAAAAACTTGGCAACTGACTCGTCTTTATGATGGTTGCAGCATCCCAAGATCATGTGATCTCCTCTTGTGACCTTCTGACAAGCAAGGTCAGTGGGAGGGGGGAGCCAGATTCACTTAACAACCAAGTTACAACTTAACAACTGCAGTGATTCACTTCACAACTGCGGCAAGAAAGGTTGTAAAATGGGGCAAAATCCACTTAACAGATGTTTCACTTAGCAACGTAAATTTTGGGGCTCAATTCTGGTCGTAAGTGGAGGACTTCCTATACTTGACAGCTCAACGGCAACTGAATCCATCTGATTTCCTCAAAATGTCTGGGGGAACTTTTGAGAAAGATATGAAAAATATAGCCTACTTTTATTTAAATACTGTATTGGAAGGTTGGCAATGATCGGTGTCCAATGTTTCCAATTTTTTAAAAAATAGAATGAAATGGAAGAGATCCATCTATTAATAAAAGCCACATATCTCACCCTGGGCTACTCTAAGCAGCTTACAACAGTAAAAAGAGAAAAATGAAAAGAAGTGTAAACATAACGGTAGTAAAATAGTGAAGCAATAAAATAAACAATGAAAATACAGCAATATGAGATTAAGAGAAGGGTGAGGAGAAGCAGGGAACACGGGGTGGGGAGGGGCAGTTTACTATCAAACTACTACAGGTAGTCCTTGTAAGTTACAACAGTTTGTTTAGTGACCATTCGAAGTTACAATGGCACTGGAAAAAGTGACTTATGACCATTTCTCACACAACCGTTGGCCCTAGAATCAAAATTCAGATGCTCGGCAACGGACTCGTATTATGACAGTTGCAGTGTCCCGGGGTCATGTGATCTCCTTTCATGACTTTCTGACAAGCAAAGTCAATGGGGGAACCCCGTTACACTCAACAACCATGTTACTAACTCAACAACAGCAGTGATTCACTTAACCACTGTGGAAAGACAGGTCACAAAATGGGGTGAAATTCACTTAACAACTGTGTTGTTTAGCAACAGAAATGTTGGTCTCAATTTTGGCCGTACGTTGAGGACTATCTGTAGCCACCTCCAGAGTTGGACTGTGTCCCAGCAGTGGTGGGATTCAAATACCTTCACAAGTGGGTCTCTGTGTGGATGCAAGCCTGGGCCTTGAGGCCTAGAATGGACTTCCGGAAGTGGCATCCATGTACTTCCAGTGGATCATTCTAGGCCTGGGAGGCCTCCTCCAGATCTCCGAGGCCTAGAACAGACTTCCGGAAGTGGCATCTACACACTTCTGGCAGGCCGTTCTAGGCCTGGGAGGTCTCCTCCAGGCCTCTGAGGCCTAGAACAGATTTCTGGAGGCAGCGTGCACTCAACTGGTTCTCCAAACTCAACAAAATTTAGCTACCGGGTCTGCCGAACCAGTGCGAACCAGCTGAATCCCACCACTGTTCCCCAGACCAACCAGTAGAGCCAAGGTCTTCAAGCTCTTGTGGAAGGATAGGAAGGTGGGGCAGATTCCACCTTGGGGAGAGGTAGGCTATTCCAGAGGACGGGTGCTATGTTGCAAATTGTGATCACGTGACTGTAGGATGCTGCAACGGTTATACAGGTGAGCTGGTTGCCCAAATCATGAACATGTATACTGCAGACGTGGTGCAACAGTCATAACTCTGAACGTGGGTTGTAAGTCACCTTTTTTATTCAAGACAAATGCTTGTTAAGGTAATGGCCATATGTCAAGGGTTACTTATGGGTGTCCACTGTTGTTTTTTTTTTCCAGATCCTTGGAAATGCAAGGAATAGCATGAGGCAAAGTCACTGTCATGTGTCTGACTAATGAAACACTTCAAAGAACTTTCAGGCATGGTTTAACCTAAAAAGCCTTTTATTAGTGTAGACCGGTGTCAGCACGGCATGGTGGATGCCAAGATCTGAATTTCCCTTCCTTTGCACATACCATTCCAGGCATTTCCCTTCCCCTATTTTGGGGTCATGATTCACATGTTCCAATTAACCTGGAGGGCAAAGATTCACTTCCGGGCTTTCCTTATAATTCTCCTCCCCTTTCTCTGTCATCTGAATTAACTCTAAAAATACCAGACAGTTCTGCATATTTTGTCAAAGCAAGAATATTCAATATTAGCAGCATTGACAGTCACTCCACTCAGTCTGTCTAATTTTGCATAAATGTAACTCAAGGATTGGGAAGGTCTGGATATTGTTGGATTCCACCATGAATTAAGTAAGATTTTGGAATTGTCTTCATTCAAAACTGTCAAGGCAACTCTGAAGACTTAACTGACACTCTAGGACAGTGGTTCTCAACCTTTTTAATGCCGCGACCCCCAACCGGTCGTAAGTTGAGGACTACTCAACCGGTCGTAAGTCAAGGACTACTCAACTGGTGCAGCACCATTTGTAGAATGGGACTTTTGGCGGGCTCAGCAGGGCAGAGACAGCCTGGACAATTCCTATTGGCTTTTGAAAGCCAATTAGACTATTCAAGAGAGTCTATTCTATTGGCTTTCAAAAGCCAATAGAATAAAAGGGAATAGCACAGCTAAGGAAAAGGGGGGGGGGATGGCAGACTGCATTGTTTGGTGACCCCCGTGAAATGGTCATTCGACCCCAAATGGGGTCCCGACCCACAGGTTGAGAACCACTGCTCTAGGACTTCACTTATTGCACACCAACACTGAAGGGGCAGGCAAGACTCATCAAAAATCCCTTCATATCATCCAGCAAAGAGTAAAAACAACCCTATTGGAAAGGGGACGCAACAATTTCAGCTCCACTCTGTATCTATGGGGAACTACATTTCACTCAAGGGATGATATCATCATGTGCACTTTCAATTCATCAACTTCACAGCCTCCTTGGGTGGTTTGTACTAGGTATGAACCAATTCTCCAAAACACCTGAGGACAAGACAAGACACAACAGATGGAAAACTATCAACCTAGATCTACGGAGAAATTTCTTTTGATTAATTGTTCTCACAATTAAGTGTGAGAACAATTAATCCATGGAACTGCCTGCCTTCAGAAGTTGTGGGTGATCTATCACTGGAGGTTTTCGAGAAGAGATTGAATAGTTCATTTGTCTGACGTGACATAGGGTCTCCTACCTGAGCAGGAGTTTGGAGTAGAACAGTGTTTCCCAAACTTGACAATTTTAAGGCATGTGGACTTCAACTCCCAGAATTCCACAGCCAGCAATGCTAGCTGTGGAATTCTGGGAGTTGAAGTCCACATGCCTTAAAATTGTCAAGTTTGGGAAACACTGGAGTAGAAGACCTCCAAGATCCCATCCAAATCAGTTCTTCTTTTATTCTGAACTTGTATAAAATTCTTGACCTTTTACTTTTGTATCGATCACCTCTCAGAGATAAAAGAATCTGACCTAATTTAGGGGAGATGCAAGGACTTCAGCCCTAGAGTCCACAGACCCAACATAATTTTATGAGGACATTTCATGGACGTTCTCAGAAAATGGCTACCTGTAAGTCTGTCCAATCACAAACTTTGAGACTGACATGGTCAACTCAAAAAAAATATTTGTTTGCCAGAACACAAGATTCCTTCCCAACTATGTTTTCTCTCCATCTCCAAAAGTATAATTTTTCAACCCACCCCTTAAATTTCCATGTCATGTTTCTTGGCAAATGCTCATGTATCTGATTATAATCTGAAGCTAAAGTTTCCTATTATGGGGCGTAGAGGCTTTTTTTTGGGGGGGGGGATATATTTAAAGAGCTGTGCACAGCAGTAAGCTTGATTCCCAATTAATTTTTGAATTAAAATAAATAAGGTAGGATGGGAATCGTGACCACACTAGAAGTACAGCAGTGAATCTATTGTGTCTTTTCAATAAAGAGATGGATTTTTTTTTTCTTATGATGGAAATGAACCTGCTCCACACTATTATTTTATTTTAACCTATTAATGGATGAGTATTAATCAGTATTTATTTATTTATTTTTATCT